AATGCTGTAATAATTAAAATGGATCAAAGTGCCTGTTATAGCTAACCGTAAAAAATATTAGATGTTATGTTTTATTATCTATTTTCATTATTTTCTATATCTTGTTGCCTTTTACGCAGACACGCCAATGGATTTTCGTTCCCGGCACGCTTCATCCCCCTTACTAGTCCAAAAGCTAGCGATGAATCACTCTCTATAATTTCGACCGTGGAGTATAGCTGTTGTTGGCTGTTGATCATGGTTGTCAGTAACACCGTTGAAGCCACTATTAAAGCTATACAGCAATTTACTTTTAAATTTTCATCCATTGCAATGTTTTGCGTGAATAAAAAATAATTGTTTACAAGATACATACAAGAAATTTTACGTGTTAAACAATGCACAATTGGTACACTATTGCAAACAAAACAAATTGCAGCAATTCTGTCCCATTATTGTGTGATAATAAGCATGCAATTAAATCCCCGCAATTTTGTCGCTGCAACTAAATTGCATTGTCTGATACAGGATTTAGTCTTGTGCTTGCAGCTGGGCAAATCACCTCAGCTCCTCAACTGGTCTTGACGGCTGACCACAAATTGTTCAGTCGCCAAAAAAACTGCATTTTGATTTCTTATTGCAAAATATACCTAATGTTATTTTTCTAAAAGTCTGGAGCGAGATATCTTTTTATTTTTCATACTTTTCGTTCATTCTTATTAATTTAAGGAACATACAGGCCTCATTTAGAACTCTTCAGAAATAACTTACTCTTCCTTTCCAAATATTGGAATGAATTGAAAAATGTGTTGAATAATTTTATTACAAGTAGGTGCATCTAATTTGAAAATAGTGCATATTTTGACATAAATGGGACAATATTAAATTCATATATTTTTTTAAATAACAGCTTTTTATATTTCTTCTCAGGGTCCGCTGCAGTTACCAACTGGATATAGTTTTATGTCAGAAGTTTGCTGATCAAATTGTATGAAAATTACCAAGTACGTAGTTACTGCCCCAACTACCTAAAAAGTAAAATACGTTACTATAGACTCTTTTAGTGTGACGTCACATATTTAGGCAACCCGCTACAAATTGTCATAGTTAAAATTGTATAGTCCGAATCTGAGCCTTGTGTACTACACTGCTCAAAATAATTAGAGGAACACTTATTTAAATCTCAATAACTTTTTTATTTGTAATACTATATAAATCTAATAATGCATATCTTAAAGACTAACATTTTGTACGAATAAATTTACGCAAATAAAACAAATTTACATAATCACTCTTGAGACAACAGCGCCAGTTCAAAAAAACTACAAGAAATAAAGTGAAAAGTCTGTGATCCTGTCTGTATAACATAAAGGTCCTGGTGAGATTTGGTTCACTAATATCGTGTATGTCTTCCATTAGCACGAATTACTGCTTGACACCTCCGTGGTAAGCTTCGGATGAGCCTACGAATGTCTTCTTGTGGTATATTCTCCCATTCTTCGATTAGGGCATTTGTTAACTGTTGGAGAGTCTGAGGTGGGTCTGGGCGCCTCCGAACACGCCTATCTAACAAATCCCAAAGATGTTCGATGGGGTTTAGATCAGGACATAGCGGAGGCCAATCCATGGATTAAATCCCGTGATGTTGAAGGTAGTTCATGGTGATAATCGCAGTATGTGGCCTTGCGTTATCTTGCATAAACAGAAAATTTGGACCTATACCATAAGCGGCTGGTATAACATGATCTTCTAGAATGAGATCAATGTACCGTTCAGCGGTTAGAGTCCCTGGAACTATGACAAGATCGGTTCTTTCATCAAGACTAATTCC